ATGCACATTAAATAAACATGAAGAAAACTGAAAGTATGCAGAGAAACAGGATACTTAAATAGTTTCAAAGAACCGCCAGCAGAGTACATATTCATTACAAAGGTTAATCTAGGGATCAAAATATTAACAATAATGAGACAAATGCAAATCATGCACTGCCAACAGAGGCAATGAGAACACAGCGCCATTTCTGTGGTATTCCTGCCTAAAAAGCACAACTGTGAAAAAACATAGTGCACAGAAGCTGAGGAAACTCTACAAAATGACTGGACTGGGGCTGGGGATTTAGCTCAGCGGCACAGCGCCTGCCTGGCAAGCGTGACGTCGTGAGTTTGATTCCCGGTACCAGGGGGGAAAAAAAAACAGAAACAAAAAAAAAAATGACTGGACTGAGCCATGCACTGTGGCTCAAGCTGCAACCCCAGCACTTAGGAGGGTGAGCCAGGAGAATCAAGAGTTGAAGGTAGGTAAGGTATATAGTAAGTTCAAGGCCAGCCTGATCTACATAGTGCAACGCTGTCTCAAAACATAAAAGAACTGCCCTATCAAAAATATAAAGATATATAAGTCAATGATAGACTATGCAATTATTCCAGGCCACAGGATAGAAACAGACATAATAAAGAAAGACAATGTTCCAGGTATGGTGGTGCACACCTGTAATCCCAGCACTCAGGAGGCTGAAGCAGGAGGACTGCCACAAGTTCGAAGCCAGCCCGAGTTACACAGTGAGTTCAAGGCCAGCCTCAACTGAATAGTAAGACCCTGTCTCAAAAAAGAAAGACAGTGTGTAGTTTGTGGTTTTTTGTGTTTTGTTTTGTTTCGTTTTGTTTTTTGGTCTTTTTGAGACAGGGGGTCACTATGCAGGTCAGGCTTGACTTGTAGCCCAGGCTGGTCCCAAACTTGTAAAAAAACTTCTCATAAATCCTGTATTTAATGATGACCTCGACTCTTCCTAGCTCTGAGACATTAAGCAAGACAGTTGCTTTTGAGCCTTAGTTTTCCCTTCAAAAAATGAAAATAACATCTACCACTAAGGATGACTAGAGGAATTAAAGGCAATGTTTGTGAAAGTATCTTATGAAGCCTAAAGAACTATACTGCCAACCCTCCATATCCATGGATACCGTGCCCGTGGATTCAACTGTGTGGGCAAAATATTTGCGGGAAGAACTGCATCTGCACTGAACATACACAGAATTCTTTTGTCATTATTCCTAAGCAATACACTGCAACAACAGAAACATAGCATTTATACTTTATTAGGTATTACAAGTAATTTAGAGAGAATTTAAAGTGTACAAGGGGGATATGTATAAGTTAAATGTAAACATTATGCCATTCGATATAAGCGGCTGAAACATTTTCAAGGTTTTTGTATCTAAGAGTGTCCTGGAACTAATCTCCCATGATTCCAAGGGAAAACTAAATATATATACTAAGTATTAAGACAAAATATATTGGATTTGACACGAAACACATTAATCACTTTTATCATCTAAAAAATCTCAAGTTATCTCCACTTGAGAAATTCTCTGCAGAAATCTAAAAATTTTTACATTGCACTTACCACCTGAGCCAAGAGCTATAATTAATAGTCAAATTTTCACATGTCACATAGTGAAGAATAGGCTACCTTACTTTTTAAAAATTTATTTAAGTAGGGGTTGACTTGTAATTCAAAGATAAGCTATAATGCCCTGTGTCTCCATAAATAATAACAACAGGGGAGATCCTTAAAAGGTGATAATCAGGTTATTCTCACTTGAAATCCACGGATTTCTTAAACTGTTTAAGCCCTGTTTACAATTGAAGAGATTATAGCTTGATTGCCCAGGGAACTAGTGAGCGAAACCTGGAATTTAGAAATCTAACACAAAAATGTCACCCTACATTATAATAAAATTTGCCACTATTTAGCTCAGCTGCACAGGGCCTGGCCAGCAAGCGCAAGGTCATGAGTTCGATTCCTGGTACCGGAAAAAAAAAAAAGAAGAAAGAAAAAAAAATTGTCACTATTTCATGATTTCTACCAGAGGTTTTTACCTCAGGAACATGTAAAGAGACACAATTGGTTTTTATACACAGGAAGCTGAAGTAAGCCCAAAGACTGGAGTATGAGAGCTAGGGTTTTACAAAAACGCAAGAGATCAAACAAATAAAGAAAACCCTACTCTGATCACCTGGATTCACTCCCTGATTTCCCCCATGATTCTCTGGGGCACATCAGCACATCTAAGTGAAGCAGTCTCAAAAAAGACTGCTGAGAAAACTTGGTCCTAAAAAACTGTTTCACTGATCCCTAAACCTATTCTCATAATCCACCAAAATGTGGACTGCTCTGTTCTCCCTCAGGACTAACCTGAAGTTTCTGTGAAACAAAGTGCAATGGTGACGAATCAACTCGTGGTAATAAAACAGAAGGGCAGGGGGGCATGGCGCAGAGAAAGGTGTTCCACTCGGGTCAGCCAGGAAGCAGGGAGGAGGGAGGAGCCTGAAACAAGAATACACTACACCGTCCAGGTCACACCCCCACCCCAGTAACCTCTCATCCAGTTGGGGCCAATCTCTGATCGGCACATTCCTCCCTGACTCATCAACGGACCAATCCATTCATTAATACAGCAACCCCATGATCCAATCACCTTCCAAAAGGCCCGCCTCTCAATAAAGAGACATCCGGGGGACACTTTAGATCTAGACTCTAACAAGAGCAAAACGGTCTTCACATCACAGCTTATCAGGGTCCTTGATGACTCCAATAAGCACACAGGCACCTCAAACAGTGTTTTGTTCACTCCATCCAGTACTGGAAATCCACAGCATCGTTCCCATCTCATCTCTTTCCAGTTAAAGATCGGTTTTCAATTACTGTGTTTTTTCAGCCATCTTTTAAATGCTCATTTCTGTACACAAGAGCTTTCAGACAGATCTAGAGCAGGGACATCCTGAAACGTCTCCCAATACAACACTCCCATTTTCTGGATGTCTCCAAAGATAATCACATTTGAAAGGAAGCCATACACCTACATCCTTCGGAAGCCTCTTGAGACAACGTTAAACACTGAAGTCACAAAACTAAACTTTAATCATATTCAGAAAAAAGAAAGTGCGGTGTTTCTCTGCACCTGACCACCTACAGGGGTCCCGGTGGGAGATCAAGTGCCCCCATGCAAAAAGGAGTTCCAAAGGCATCCCTTCATTCAACACATCTCTGAAGGCCATCTGTATTGCAGAGACTATGCTAAGTGCCTGGTATAAGACACGCTTAGGAAAATAAAGAGCGTCCACTCATTTTAATAGATTGCAGGGGCATAATGGTAATACGGTACAGTACAACACTCCACCGTGCACAGAGCAGGCGGCCGTTCTCAGACTAGAGTATTCTCAGACTGCTAGAGGACAGTTTAAAACCCAGGATCACCCAGAGGACACTGCAAATCTCAGAATGCTAGAACCATCCCCTAATATTACATTAAAGAGTTTGTTTCCTATTTGGAAAAGCATCCTTCACATGTCTGAATGCTATATTACAAGAATGTTTTCCTTGAAGGGTTTTTATCATGAGAGTCAGGTTTAGTCTCAAAAGAACTCCTACTTCCTAAAAAAGGAAAAGAAAATAAAGACTATCAACTAAGCTGGATATAAACTAACATATTAACTAAGCTCAGTGCCAGGATGCTTACTTAGCATGCCTGCGACCCTGGGTTCAATTCGCAGTACCCCTTAAAAAAAGTCTGTGAACTGGAAATATAAACAGTAAGTTAAACTATAAAGACGAAGGGCTGGGGATTTAGCTCAGCAGCACAGAGCCTGCCTGGCAAGCGTGAGGTTGTGAGTTCGATTCCAGGTACCGGGAAAAAAAACCAAAAAAGAAAAAAAACTATAAAGACGAGTGAATAGATGAGTAATAACTGTACAATCCTTCTTGTGCTAACCATATTTTCTAAAATTTTTACAATAAATAAGCGTTTCTTTTTCAAGAAAGTAGCTTCGGACCAGGGATGTAGCTCAGTGGCACAAGTTTGCTTGGCAAATGCAAGGTCCTGAGTTTGATGCCTGGTACCAAAAAAAAAAAAAGTAGCCTCGTACGGGGGCGCAGTCTGTCATCCCAGCACTATGGGAAGCTAAAAGCGGATAATTCCAAATTCCAAACACCTCTACACTATTTAACTGGATCAGTCACTTCCAGACACCTCCCAAAAAAACAAAAAATCTCCCCCACAAAAGCACCTGTATGTTATATATAATTTATAGCTAATTTTTTTCAAATTAGCCCTAAAAACTTTCTGCAAAACTATTATTTGCTGAATAGTTTCTAGGAATTCCATATATCCAACACTGCATGTATCCTTTCTTTTAATCTCCAAACCAGGTGATGAATTAAGTACCTCCACAGAACTGTTACAGATACAAACTTCAGCGGAGAATCGTCATTTCACCCTAAATCACACAGCTAAAAATTAAAGATCCAGGATACAAAGGTGGCCACACTATATACTTAAACCATGAACCTTTGGTCTCCTCACGGTTTTACTACGTCTGAATTATCCATTTTTCAGAAATACGGAGCAAGTTCTCTTGACAGTAGTATTTGCATTATGCCAACAAGACGAAAACTGTTAAGAGTAACACGGGCGCCTTCGCAAACTTCCGCCAACGTCTAAAGACCGCACACGGGTTTCAACGCCACACTTCGGCGCGCGGCCCCTGCGGGACCCGGGGGCGAAAAGGACCGGCGGAAACCCGGCCCTCACGGCGCGGTTCCGTCGGGCCGTTTCCGGTCCGTGCGCGACCCGCGAGCCAGAAGGGGAAGGAGCCGGCGGGAAGATGATCTCCTACTCCCGCTGCTTCCGCAGGAACAGGCTGGACGCAAAAGCCGCGGCGTCGGCGCGCCCACGAGTGAGGCCGCGGCTGCCGCCTCTGCTTCCCACCCTGTCCAGAACCCCCAGGGACCCTGAGCCCGGGCGACGGCCGGGCGCGAGCGGCGGGCCGCTTACCAAGCTCTGTGCCGCGGCTGCGCGCGGCCATGGTGCGGGCGCGCGGCTGCAGACTGGAGCGCCGCCTCCCGGGTGCCCGCCTCCTTCCGCCTCACGCCCCGCCCCGCCGCGCAATCGCCCCGCCCCTCTCTGCTATCGCCCCGCCCACAGCGCGTGCTGGTGGATCCCAGAGGTGCAGTTCCATATCCCCGCTTTAAAATGCTTAGAACCCGCGGGGCGTGGTGGCACACGCTTGTAATCGGAGCCCTCGGGAGGCTGAGGCAGGAGAATCGCTGTGAGTTCAAGGCCAGCCTGAACTGCGTGGTGAAACGCTGTCTCAGAAAGGCAAAATGAATAAATAAAATAAAATGCTTAGAGCCAGGTGTGGTGGCGCCCACCTGTAATCCCAGCGCTCAAGAGGATCACTGTGAGTTCCAGGCCACCCTAGGCTACATAGTGAGTTCAAGGCCAGCCATGACTACATAGTGAGACCTTGTCTTAGGAAAAATAAATAAAATGCTTAGGTTCTCCAGGCCCGGTGGCGCACGCCTGTAATCCCAGCAACTGGAGGCTGAGGCAGAAGGACTGCCATGAGCTGCAGGCCAGCCTGGACTAGACAGACCATGTCTCAAAAACAAACAAAACAAAAAAGTTTAGGTCGCCAGTTTCACGTAATACAGCAGTCTGCGGTAAAACTGGTTAACTGCAAGATTGCGTAACACCAGGGAGCGCCCGCCCCGCTGATCTGAGGTCCAAGTGCAGCGCTCTGCACCCTCTGACCTGAAATGTCAGCAGTAATCCCTGAGCCTGGACGGGCAACCAGGGCACCATCAGGGCCCCAGAGAGCCCCGACTTCTAAGTGGGACTCCAGGAGACCACAGCTGTTTAGGCTGGGAAACCAAGGGCCCGGAACTGAGAGGAGCCGCTTAATCCGCCGGTTTAATATGTGAATTGGGGCAAACGATAAGCGCCTTCCCAAGCCTGGTTTTCCTCATCCACAAGAGAAGATCTTGACACACTCTTGGATCTCTAAATTCTGTGACTCTGGGATACTAAGACTTCTTCCAGCCTGACTGCTCCGTGACCAGGACATTTAAATGGTCCTGAGTCGTTCCCAGCCTCCCGGGGGCCACCAGCTAATTCATCTGCACTTGCAAGCAGAGAAAAAACCAACTCGTGTGTGGCTCTGTACCATGAGCGGTTCCCCTGGCCCGAGCTCTCAGATGTGTGAAGGCATCTGAGTTTCAGAAAGATCCTGCCAGGTGTGTATTACGTCTCCATAGCAGCACCTGCACACCCGAAGCTCTGGGGAGAGCCACCCTGGGCAGTGGAAATAGAGGAGGGTCCAAGGGGTCCCAACCCAGCAACACCCCAGCTCTTCCGCCTAGGTATGGTGTGGTGTGGTGTGGTTTGGTTTGCTGTACTGGGAGTTGAATCCAGGAATCTTCCCACTGAGCTACCTCCCAGTCCATTTTCATATCTTGTTTCAAGACAGGGCCTTGCTAAATTGCTCAGTTCCCCCAGTGAGATCCTCATGCCTCAGCCTCCCATGGTGCTGGAATTACAGGCTTGCGCCACCACTCCTGGTGTGAGGGAGGATGTTATTGACTGTCTTCTTACCTGAGTAACAGGATTGGCTATTATGTACTGCATTGTAAAGTTGTGTGTGCAGATCACCGGCTGCACAACATAGCACTTAGTAGAAGATCAATAAGTGAAAGTTGTTCATAGCAGTGTCCAGTTCATGTAGAAATTATCCCCCTACGGAGCTGTCTTTTAGCTTTGTCCACTTCTGGCTACTGCTGAATATTTTGGACATGTCTAGATCCTATTTATACATATAAGAAGAGTGTTTACTTTTTGTTACCTTTTGCAATAATGGAGATTGAACGTAAAGCTTTTGCACATCTCCAGCCTTTTAGAGAGGAGGTCTCAATAAATTGGCTATGCTGGGCTCTAACTTGGGATCCTCCTGCCTCAGCCTCCCAGAAGGGTGGGATCAAAGGTATGTATTGTTATTTTTGTTTAACCCCCAAAAAGAGAAAAGGAAGCCTTTTCATCCTGGAACTGGCTGGAACTCCACTACACCACTCTTCCCCAGTTAAACGTAAACAACTTTACAGAGACTACCATCATCAGCCACAGCCTCTGTGACCAGAATGAACCAAAAACAAGACCACTCCTAGTCAGGTCTGAACACAGAAAACCGTGAATATTGTCCAAGCCGTAACAATCAGGAAGCCCTACCACAGAATTAACATTGTTTTCTGCCTGTCCATTCTAGAAGACTGATTCTTCTCCCCCACCTCCAATCCCCGAGCACAATTACAGGTCGCTTAGGGTTAGTTTCCGCCACTGCCTCACCGAGCTGCCTCACACTTCCGGGATGAAGTCTGCCTGTCCAAACACAGCTGCTGTCTACGGCCATACCACCCTGAATGCGCCCGACCTCGTCATACACAGCAGCTCCTGGTGGGCTTTGGCTGGAAAGTCCGCATGTAGCCAGAAGATACAAACCCAATACATGAAATTCTTTTCTTAGGAACTGGTACATCTCCAAGATAGATTCTAAGCCACTCATTAGGCACTGATATGTAATAGAAATTATTTAAACAACAAAAGTTAGGATATCCTAGCGTATCTGAAAAAAAAAAAAAAAAGGAACAAAGCCTCCAAAAGCTAATATTTTGACAGTAAAACTGATGAGAATTTCTGGAGAACTTTTTTCTAAAATTGACTTTTTGCATAGTACTAACCTGTAATTAAACTAAATAGTTTAAATGTTAGGTTGGCACCATTAAGAGAAATAATAAAATGAATACAAGGAATACGTTTTTGCTGGGCCTGGTGGTGCATGCTTATAATCCCAGCACTTGGGAGGCTGAGGGTCTAGAGTCTAGAGGTAAGGGTCTAGAGTCCCTAGCACACACCAGGATATGAATATCTGTAAGTGATGAAGGTATATTACTGTCTCTGCTATTTTTCTCACGGTGCCTATTGCTTCACTCAAGCCATCCTCATTTGATGCAGTTTGGCCCTGTGATTTCTAAGAGCAGCCACTCACAGGTTCCTCGGGTGAATGTCCACTTAAGACTGTCAATTGTCAGCCTGTTTCTAGGTCTGGTGGGGAAAACTATAAAAGCAGAAAGGAGCACTTTGTGGCGTAGCACACACGTAATTCTAACACTTTGGGAGGCCGAGACAGGGAGGATCACAAGTTCAAGTCCCACATGGACAACTTAGTGAAACCTTGTCTCAAAATAAAAATAAAAAGGGTTGGAAATGTAGTTCAGTGCGCATGCTCTGGGTTCAACCCCCAGTACCAAATAAAATAAAATAAAATAAAAAGGCAGCAGCAAGGAGGACTAAGGAAACAAGCCTAATAACATCAAAATATTTCCAGGACATACAGCTGGCAGACCTGTAGAGCATTTAACTGACTCTTTTATGAAGCTAAATTTATTCCATTTTAACAACAGTTCTTCCACCTACGGCTGTTCCTCCCCAGCCCCCAGCTTGGATTTTTAAAAGATCCTTTCTCTTGTGAAGATTGTGGGGGATATTTTTTTTCTACTAGGCTCACTTGGCAAGAGAAGTATATCAGTCTTCCTTGCTCTTCTTCTTTTTATTTTTTTATTTTTTTTTTATTTTTTTGGTTTTTCTCCGGTACCAGGAACCGAACTCACGACCTTACGCTTGCCAGGCAGGCGCTTTGCCGCTGAGCTAAATCCCCAGCCCCTGCTCTTCTTCTTTTTAAAAACCTATTGACCATGAAATCTTGAGTTTGCTGGGTGTGGTGGCACGAGCCTGTAATCCCAGCACTTGGGAGGCTGAGGCAGGAGGAACCTTGCGAGTTTGAGGCCAGCCTGGGCTACAAAGTGAGCTCAAATAGCTGTGTGAGTGAAATAGCTACAAAGTGAACTCAAATAGCTGTGTGAGTACAGACTGAACTGCATAGCAAGACCCTGTCTCAAAAAGACAAAAACAGAAAAAAAAAAAAAAGAAATCCTGAGTTTGGGCAACACTGATAGACAATATAATACTAGCAAGTATTAGCTGTTTCCTCTGAGGTAAGCCCTTTATATCAATTACTTCACATTTTAAAAAATTGATGAGATATTTCCCTAAATAATCTAGTGCAAGAACTAGTATCTCTTTGCACAGACAAAGAAACTGAGGCTTAGAGATAATCTGCGCAGGGCTAGAAGATAGCATAAAACCCAGATGATATAAACCTACACATGACACATTCTTTGATGCCAAACTTATTAGACAAGCCGCTTACCTCTCTAAAATACAGGTTTCCCAAAGAAAAGGGAGACAGTAAAAGCCACCTCATTGGATTATTGGAAGATATTAAATATTTTAACATAAAAGCCTAACACAAAGTGCTTAACATTATTTCCATACTCAAACTAAAATCAAGGAGCACCTGACCAAACTTTCTCCCATTAAACTGATTCAACCTATACAGCTGTTATTCATGATTAGGTATCATTTAGATGCATATTTAGGCCTTGTTTCCATAGATAACTTTGATGCTTCATTAGTTTTTCAGGGAACTCTATTATTCTTGTTTGTTTTGTAATGCAGGGGGCCTCTGTTGGTCTTAAAACCTCACTGATCTAGATGATACTATTACAGACAGCTGAGTTAGGTAGAAATGTTATAGGCAGTCAGACGGTGCTGGGCTTTCAAGAGAGTCAGTCCAGGAAATAAAAAACTCATTACAACTGTGACCGGAGGCGCATCTGTTGTAGGCCAGACCTCAGGACAAAGACAGAATGACCAGGCCTAAAGTAAGTGGTAACACTTGGTCTAACGAAGTCTAGATAGACATCTGTCGCCTCAGGGGGTGACCAAGACCCTCAGACTCATCTTTTCCTGAAAAGTTCTTTGTTCTTTCCACATATACTTGCTATGTGACTTGCTTCTCCATTGGATCACCATTACCGAAGCAGCTACACTTCTCTTACTGGCCAGTCAGAGCTGCAACCCACGTTGTACCCACGTGGGTGTGCTCTATAAAACCTCCACAGAGCTGGGTGTGGTGATACACGCCTGTAA